GCCGGATGCCTTTAAACAGCCCCTGGTTGCAAGCAGATTTTATCATGAGATGTAAGACTTCCCCTATAAGCAGAAAAAGAAATGGAGAAAGGGGGGGGGCTGAGCGTTTTCAAATTATTATTATGATACTAAGATAAAAAAAAAAAAATTCATAAAAAAAGCGATAAAAGTTATGAATATTTAGATATTTTTATGTTTATAGTAAAAAATAATAACGATTTTATTAAAAAAAATGAATTTTATATATCATATATGGAGGTAAAGTCTAAGAAGAGGTTGTACACAAATATTTCCTCATTTCGTTTACCTTACAAAGTAGAACGATTATTTACATAAAGACCATTCACTTGCAAAAATTACAAAACCACTTGTACATAAATCAAACCACATCAGATTAACTCAATATATATTTCATTTGAATGTAAGATATAAGAATGACATAACATATCTAGACATATTTTTTAGCTGATTGGGGTTAGACTTAGAAGCCTCAAATTTTTTCCGAAATCGAGTAACCCACCCAATCCAAAATGGTTTCGAGTTAAATTGGTTTACGGGTTAAACAATTCAATTTTAGTTATTCTTTTATTATTTCGGTTAAAGCGAATTATACTATAATTTTATTTATTTCATATTTAGATAATTGGTTTGGAACTTTGACCATATAAAACAATTAATACATAATAAATTTATATTAAAGATAAAATGATAAGATATTGAGATGGATTTTTAATTAAAAAAAAAAACTAGATATTGAGATGTCTAGTATCGAAATGGGTTTAATAAAGTCCACAAGATATTGATTTTTTTTTTGGTTTTGGTGAAAAAAAATCAAACATGTGTGGCAATGTAAAAATTGAATGGATAGATCATTTTTCGATTTGTGTGTATTAATCTTCTACGTATTGTTTTAAATTTATCTGGTATTTTTGATTAAACTATAAAAACTTTTATATATTTATCAAGATATAATTCTTTTAACCTTAAAATTAAATAAATAAATAAA